GAACTGCGCAGAGGTCTGTGCCATCAGCGGGCAGGCGGCGCAGGAGCCGGTCTTCTCGCCGAAGACGAAGCACGTCTACGAGAAGGGGCGCGGAGAGAGTGGGGGGGGGGGGTCGCGGCGCGGTCGGTTCACCGAGGGTTTAGAACCGGTGGCTCATCGGTTCTCTCTCCGTGAGGTCGGAGAGAGAGGGAGAGAGAGAGGGAGAGAGAGAGAGAGAGATGACTGGAGGGCGAGAGAGAGATGTCATTTTATTTCTTTATCTTGAGTAGCGGAGTGGGGAGAATGGTAGAGTGAAGTGTGGGGGTGAGAGAGTAGCCCATATGTTGGGAGAGGGAGTGAGAAAAAGGGTTGCCAGTGACCGAATGCTAAAGAGATGTGGAATTTCTCAAACCAGAGGGTTTGCTTGGGGTTGTCTGTTGCTGAATCTATATGTGTTTGGATTGAAAAGACAGAGGACCTAAGAACTGGCAAAATCTCATGAAGATCAACGGGGTATGTTTTCATTTTTTCTTATGTTTGGTGTCAAGCTCAAGATTCACATCTGAGTTGCTTCTCGCAACGAGAGCTGCGATCGAATCTAGGGAAAGGGACATGTGTGGCATGTTTGAGGGGGGGTCTGCCAGAAGCTCTAAGCAAGATCTCTTTTTGATTCTTTTTGTGCAAGCAGTATGTATGTTGTTAAGAATTGGATCGCATGCATCCGCAAACCACATGAGCCAATGGGGGGTTCTGCATAGGTTTGCCTCCTCTTGGGTTTTGTGTCAATTTGTCTGCTTTTGTGAAGGCTGATTGAGAAGCAGATCGAGACGACAGGGAAGTGCCCAGTGACTAAGGAAGAGCTTACCAAGGACAGGGAAGAAGGGGGATACACAACCTAAAGCACCAAGCCACACATGATGTGGGTGTGGCACCCCCAAGAGAAAGCGGACAGACCCTTAGAACCATTCGGGTTTTGTGTTTGTCAAGGCCAAAGAAGAGATTTCAAAGACAAACCGGTGCTGGACAAGATGACTGGAGTGGTTTTTGGAGGGCGTGGCGTGCGCAGGTCCTGGAGTTTCCTCCCTCTCTCGTGGGTCCATGGACACACCACGGGGGTCTCAGAACTGGCACGTTTCTTCAGACATGGTATCACATTCTTTCGGAGCAGCTCCAAGGTTTCATCGACTCCAAGGTGTTGCTTTTCCGTTTGATCAGTGGCATCGGGGGCACTCTGCTGGGCACTCTGCTGGGCACTCTGCTGGGGACTCTGCCAGCTCCGGGAGGATGATTTGGTGAGCATCAAGGGGAACACCGCCATCCGCCCGCGCCCGGCCACGGCGGCCTCCATTCCGGGCATGCTGTCGGGGTCGCCTGGGCCCGGTCCGTCCGTTTGGGCTGGTCGACCTGTTTCCGTGGTTGGTGGGGGGCTTTTTCCCGATTTCGGTGCCAAGGTGCCAAGGGAACCAGGGTTAAAAAACCCCTGAGAGATGCCCTTTTCGGAAACAGCGATCCATTGAAAGCGGCGTCTGTTGGATCCTTTTCGCAAGAGAAACCGAGCTGGCCTGTCTCAGAGACACTCCAACCACTAACCACCACCATCAATTCACAAGCAAACAGTCAGGACACTGATTGGGCGGGATACTTCTTTTGGAAGTAGGACAGTTCTTCATACCTCTGGAATTTGATTTCTTAACACCCCTGGAGGCAAACGGTCAAATGATTTGCTGAGTTCTCGCGGCCCAGCCCAGCCCAGCACTGAGGACCTTACTGCAAAGCGAGTGGGTCGGGGGGCCTTGGTGGGAGGGGACAGAGCCGCCACCTGCTTGGCGTGGGGGTGGTTGCGGGGGCGCCTTCGAATCCTGTTTGGAAGAACAATTAGACCTTCCTTCCGTGGACATCCCACCGGATTGAGCAAGGGAAGTCGGTCTGGTTGGTCGCGGGGGAACCTCCTACAAGCAGATGGCATGACGAAGCTCAGCTCGTCACGCCGTTCCGAGACAGACTCCACTCCGGATGGGCAGAAAGTCCAATTTGTCGACACGTCACTGTGCGAACGAGAAGACGCAGAAACACACATGTCCATTTTAAAAAAAAAATATATAAAAGAATTGATTGAGAGGTAATACCTGGTGTTCGGAATTTCTCGGAGGAGCTCTTGCTTCTTTTCTTTGGCGCCCCCGGGCGTGGTTTGATTTCTTTGGGCGCCCAAGGGCCGGAGAGTCGCTCCCTCCCGACCCCACGCGTAGCGACTGAGCGACGCGGCGACACACCGACGGAGGATGCCTTGATGTCGGAGACCTTCGAGTTGAAGTCGCAGCTGGACACTGGCAGACGCTTCTTTTAAAGGGACACTGGCACTGTGGCACGCTGCGTGGCGTGGCAGTCGGAGGGTCACAGCCGACTCGACTCGGGGAGTCGATGGTCCGACAGGTGGGGAACCGGAGACCACATCGGATGGTGCTTGTGCTAGACTGTCTGTCTCGCCGGTTGCGGCGCTGAAAGACAAGAACAGCAACAGTTGAAAGCTGTTCGGCTTCCTCTTCCGCGCTCCGTATAAACCGCCACCTTCTGGCGCTTCTCTCGGGTCGGCCCTCAGGAAAACAGCTCTCCCACGCGCCCGGAAGCCGAGTGCTGTGCATCCGCATCTTCAGCACCAAGTGATGCGACCAGCCTGTGGTCCTTCAGGTCGTTCGGGGATCCTTTATAGGGAACTGAAGGATCTAGAAAGGTCGAATCTCCTAAAGAAAAGGATTCAATGGATCCATCCTATTCACGAAAGGTAGCCCTTTAGGGGATACCTTGAGTTTGACTTGCGAAGCAAGTGTCGGCGAGTCCGGGTCTAATAATTGATCATTCAATTCAACCCCCCCCCTTGGAATTGATTTTTCAATACAGCCCCCCCCCCTTCCAAATTCAATTCTCTCCTGGAAAACGTCTTCGTGAGCCTCTCATGATTTCAGGATAGTTGAAACCCTCT